TCAAATTTGACAGGGAAGAAAAATCACTTGATCGGTCATTTGCATGTCATTTGGCATCATTTTTAAAGCACAACCTAATGGAGATATCAAAAGTTGCTTGAAGAGATGAACAAAAAAAAATCCCATTGGATCCGGACTTTATGTGTGACACTGTATAATCCATGAAACAATTTTCACACAATATAGTTTTATCATCACGGATGAATAAATAATATATATTTTCGTGAAACTGCTGTTTATAAGGAAATTTTATCAAAAGAAGTCAAGAAGAATTACTGATAAAACAAACTTACGTAAAGGCAATATTACTGAATCAACACTATACAATACACCAACCAAAATGATAGATAAACTTGTCCACGCCATTTTGAATAAATTTTCAAAACAGAAACACTTCCAAAATTCGGTTTCACCAATACAACACATGCCACAAAATTTTTCTTTTTATATCAAGCCGATCGCTACTTCTCGAAATGACTCCCACCACTGCTTCCGACCGAGTATCAAGGTGAAAACTTCGATCAATGTCTATCATCAGCGATGATTCAGTGGTTCCTAATTGTAGGAAGAAATTAATGAAAAAATTGAGTATTCGACACATCTGGAAAAAGCCTATGGTTTGGACAAGTCAAGCGTATTTCAATTCTGAAATCGAAGTATTTTCTGAGATACAATGAATTGACAGTAAAACCAGCTGATAGGTACAGGACAGGGCTTCAGCTAGAAAGTTAACAAAAAACCAGCAGGTACTATGTACTCAACGGGGCTTTAGCTACAGAATTGACAATGAAACTAGTAAGTACTCGACAGGGATTTAGGTCCGGTTTGACAATGAAACCAGCAGGTAGATACTCGACAGGGCTTTAGTTACAGAATTGACAATAAAACCAGCAGGTAGTAGGTACTCGACAGCACTTACGGTATCGATTTGACAATAAAATCAGCAGGTGAGTACCTACTCGACAGGGCTTTAGCTACAGAATTGACAATGGAAAGTGTAGGTAGTAGGGCTTTAGGTCCAGATTGACAATAAAACTTGCAGGTAGGTAATCGACGGAGCTTCAGCTACATAATTGACAATGAAACCAGCAGGTAGTAGGTACTCCACAGGGCTTTAAGTACCCGATTGACAATAAAACCAGCAGGTAGGTAATCGACAGGGATTTAGCTACCGAATTGACAATGAAACCAGCAAGATCTAGGCAATCGACAGGGCAATATGTATCGAATTGACAATAAAATTAACAGGTGAGTAATCGACATGGATTAATCTGCAGAATTGACAATAAAACCAGCAGATAGCAGGTAGGAATCGAAATGACGATAAAACTAGCAGGGCTTTAGCTACCAAATTGACAATAAAACCAGCAGGTACCCGGAACTCGACAGGACTATAGGCATCGAATTGACAATAAAATTAGCAGGTGAGTACTTCAGAATTGACAATGGAACAGGTAGTAAGTCCTCGTCAGGGCTTTAGGTACTGGATAGACAATAAAACCAGCAGCTGAGTAATCGACAGGGCATTAGCTACAGAATTGACAGTGAAACCAGCAGGTAGTGGATATTCGACATGGCTTCAGGCACCGAACTGGCAGGACTTCAGCTACCGAATTGACAATGAAACCAGCAGGTAATAGATACCCAACAGGGCTGTAGGTACAGAACTGGGAATGAAACCAGCAGGGCTTCAGCTACCGAATTGACAATGAAACCAGCAGGTCTCAGGTACTCGACAGGGCTAACGGTATCAAATTGACAATAAAATCATCAGGTAAGTAATCGACAATAAAACCAGCAGATAGTAGGTAGGTATCGAACTGATGATAAAACTAGCAGGGCTTCAGCTACCGAATTGATAATAAAACAAACAGGTAATCGAAAGGGCTATAGATATCGAATTACCAATAAAATCAGCAGGTAAGTACTCGACAGGGCTTTAGTTATAGAATTGACAATAACACTAGCTGGTAGTAGGTACTCGATAGAGCTTTAGGTATCTTTTAAATAACTTTTTTCGTAATTAGATAGTAAGATCTTCCTTCAATACCATTCCATAANAAATAAGTAAACAAAATAATTTTATGAACGACGATGGTGGACCGATACCAGAGCTGAGATGTATTTTCACAAATCAACATTATTATTATTATTATTTATACCGTAGCGTTTCTTGGTTATTCTTTTAAACTCACGATTTACTGAGAATAGCAATTATTCATTAAAATTACAAAAAATGTTGATTCGTCAGCTACAGATTTGTTTGACACGAAGGAAAATTTACACGCGAATATGGTATAATTTGCATCAATAATTAGTAGATTATCACAATTAGATTCTGTTTGGAAGGCCAAAATATGTCAAATTTAATCAGATAGCGATTAAAAAACTTGCCTTCAAATACTTATACGTTTTTTCTTCTTTCCAAGAATCTCAGCCTCCAACTGTAATAATTTGTTTTGTTGAAGTTAAAAAAAATTCCGAAATATCAAATTAGGATATCAACTACATTTCAAACACTGGTTCTGATAAATTCCATGAGAAGTTACAGGTTTGGATTATATTAATATTCTGAATACATAGTTGTGCTCTCAGGTGAAAACCTGGGATTTTTTTTTTGTATCGATGAAGGGAACGTTTAATTTTTGTGATAGGAATGATTGACAGCATTATTATGATGTTTGTATAATATGTTCATTTTGGGGCGAAAACATACTATAACATAACACGTCACGGAAAGTACATACAAAATGTGACGGAAATTTTCAGTATGAGAAAATTGCGTCATATTAACATCATAAACAATACAAAAGGATAAAAATTAATACACACGTCAATATCACACACCAATATCGCTTCGTTTCACTGATTACGCAATGTGCTATCTAAATAGTGAACGACAGAACTAATTTACTAATCATCTTCAAAGATAGTTTGTCAAACTCAACACCATCATGATACGAGGTATATTCGAAAAATGGCGTATATGTCTGATATCATGCAATTTTCTCGTGAATTTTGGGCATCAGGTGTGTTGGCTAAAAAGTCACATAAGTGTGACTTACCTACCTCCAAAAGAGAGGTGTTGAAATCTCACGATATTCTACTCATGAGTTTGTGTGTTATTGTGCTAAGAGTGACCCTACTTTTGTTAGGAAAAAATTCCGTTCAAGCAAAGCAATGGCTTCTATTATTCGATATATTCTCCATTTTGTAGTTGTCTCATTTTGCAATAATGATTACCTATGCCAGAGCTGCAGCCCGTATGTTTAATGATAATCATTCAGGAAGAAATGTACGACACGAATGCGTTTTAGAATTATTGACAAATTTATGGAAACTGGATCTGTTAACCATGAAAAGCATAACCGTTCATGAGTTGTCAACGATGAAGCTATGTGTACTGCAGTTTTAGGGCACGCTGGACTAATGGAACATTCGTAATCTCTTGCTAAGTTATCCCAAGAATCAGGAATCAGTCGTAAAAATGTTTGCAGGATCCTTCATAAGTACAAATTTCATTCATGTAAGATCAGACTAGTTCAAGAATTGAACAAAGATGATTTCGATAGTCGTATCGAGTTTTGTGAAAGTTTCACTGAACGGATCAACTTGCATCAGAATTTCTTGTAAAAAATTTGTTTTTCGATTGAATGTACGTTTAGTTTGAATGGAGAGGTGAATCGGCAGAATTGTGACTATTGAAGTGATACGAATCCTCATTTATACCGTCAAGTTCATACCCAACGACCTCAAAAACTGAATGTTTGGACAGAAATTTCAAGTGACCACATCATATCCTGAAATTCATGTTATTGTTATCCAATTTGTTACTGAAGAGCCTTAGGGCAAGTGTCTTACGGCGAAACATCGATGTATACCAGTGAGGATGACAGTGTTCCATGAAAGTGCAATTTGTTACCATTTATTTAAAGTAGAACTCATGTGAATGATAGGTATCTGATCTTATACCATAACGAATATTTGAAATACAAACTGAGTAAAGAAAAGTACCTTCTGTATAATTCAGTGTTCATATAGAAGTATTTGTTTCGAAAGAATGTTTTCTTTCGTTTAATTCAATGTTTATATGAAAGTAGCTGTTCCAGGAAGACTTTTTTTCAGTTTGTGTCTGAAAGTTACTTCTTTGCATGATCTACATATCCATGTATAGAGTTACTTATTTTTGATTGATTACTTCCTTCCTTTTTTTGAAAGATTCCCTCATCTTTTTTTGTATCAAGATGGAGTAGTAGAAATCCAAAAATATATAAAGCAAAAAAAATTTCTTTCCCAAAAATTATTCACTCCTAAAAATATAACCCCTTTAATTCAAATATTTGGATATGTTGGAGAATGGAATAAAATCGTGCATCAATAGGGCAATTGAGGAGGATCTAAATTTATTTGAAAACGACACAGTTTTTCAGCAGGATGGTGCACCTCCTCATTATGCAGCTCCAGTGCGACACTTTTTGGATGATCATTTTCCTGGTCGCTGGAATGGCAGAAAGAGTCCTAAAGAATGGCCACTAAGGTATCCGGATCCCACTCCTGTAGAGTTCTTTCTATGGGATCATTTGAAGTCTGAAGTATATGAGATAGAATTAATAACATTAAAAGATTTGAGAGAGAATATCATGAGGAATTGCAGAGAAATAAGTCCCGAGATTCTCAACCAATGGAAGCTTGTTCGTACCATTGTATGGAAGTTGATGGGGAAGTTTTTGAAAATTCACCATAGAAAACTTTTTTCTCATTGTCTAGTCATCAGATTTTGATTCAAGAATCAATAAAAAATCTCTTTTACTGATTCATTTCCTCCATATTTGTCTCTGGAACGAATATTTCAAACTGTGGCTCCCTGTATAATTATTGACGTGGTATTTCAATTTTTCCTGCAAATCATTGTTTCAAAAGTTATTTAGGGTGGCTCTTTTTCAACTCAAATAGTCTGTAGCTCCCGAACCATAAGCTACAGACTATATATTTTATATATATTTTGTTGAAATCTACCCATTATGGAGCATCTGAAAATGCGAAACAATACAGGGTGATCCATTAAAAAAATTGGGGTGCGATAGAGGAAGTAACATCAAATGTGAATACTATGTCCCCCTTTATACTATTGTTGACTTTTTTTCATTTTTTCTGATAATAATTGTACCAAAAGAGTTATTCAGGGTGGTTCGTTTTGAATGTAATGCACTATATTCATTGAGATACAGAAACCCACGACTTTGAAAGGAACAAAACTTTTGAAACAAGGTAATAGATACGTTCTCACTTTTTTTGAAATCGAAATAGATCGTTGTGAACATGCTTTTGTTGGACCGAAATGTATCAAAGGTTATAGTATTTCCAATACTGTAACAGGGAAAATTTTGTATAGGTTCAGGTAATAGTAATGGTTTCTCAGAATGCTTCAGTTTATTTCTAATTTTCGATAACGACTCCAAAATACTGGAAATTAACTACTTTCAGTGATTTATTTATTCTAGAAACCACAATTATCAAATAGGAAGGAAAACAACAAAAACCTTATTAGTCGCCAATGCTGAATTGCGACTAATTATTTCGCAGAAGGTCAACTAGTACCATCTGACGATGAATAGCACAGGATTCTTTCCTATACTGCAATACCAATTGGAACAGCACAGAGAAGGAATTCCCGCCTCGACATAGGCGTCGGCATATTATTTTTCAGTGGTAGTTTTTCAGTTACTTATTCTTACAATCATAGCAATTGATAACCCCATGAAAAAGTCATCTCAACTGAATTTTTCCACCATGGGTAATTATGAAAAACTTCGAATTTTGAGGTAGTTGATTTCCAAGTTGAAAACTCTAAAATACAATGAAAACATAAATAATAACACCGGATTCTCGTCAAATATTTATTTACAAAATAATAGAGGCAAAAAAGTTGCTAGAAAAATCAAAATTCTTCTTCGCTATATTCGAATGAGGTGGAATCATCATCGGGTTGAATAACGATCGGATTTACGGAACTTTGCACATAATATTTGTTCTCTTCTTTCATAACGTAGGCCACACAGTTCTTCTAGACATCAAAAATACCTACTTCATTCACCACTCGCCTTACATTGTCAAGCACCACAGCATTCAAAGTCGGTGACTGATTACATTTCCGCAAGCTTTCTTTCATTGTGGGCCAAACCATTTCAATTGGATTGAACACACAATAGTATGGAGGCAAACGTAAGAGAATATGACCACGTGTTTCACACATCAAATCAATAATATACTCTTTTTTGAAATTACGTTGTTTTATGGTCGCCAGTAATACCTTTTTCGTTGGAATCTTTTCGGGTATTTCCATGTCATGATTCCGCATGAAATCAACAATATCTGCTTTTTTGTGTTATTGTTTGGTATTTTTGTCAATAACCGAGTTTGGAGGAATATTTGGGAACTGATCAATATCAGTTTGGTGTTAGGGTAATTGATCTCTAGAAAAAGTTTTCGAAAATCGGTTTGCAAAACCACTCCTACTTCACCTAACCCCACGAACACACAGCACTGATGAAGAAATATTGTGGAATGGACAAATAATTAGTATTCAGCCAGTCCAGCTAGCCGAGCATTGATTCCTCATTTACATTTGATAGCACGTTTACTAACTATCTGGGCGACTAGGGGTCACAGGAAAGAAATGTTTATGACTGTACCAGAGACGCTTCGAACATAAACGCACTGGTAGTATAAACACTTCCTATTTGCCGGGCAGTGATTATGAACACCCCTCGTAGTGCTCTTATTTTCATTGCCCTCCCAATTGGGAATGGATAGACTGTACCAACTAATTCTTTCTTTGTTATGAACAGTTATCAAGTTTCTGTATAATTAAAATTTAGGAAACCGTGATTATGCTAACCTTGAGGCGACATATCGTATTTAAAATATTACACTACCTAAATTGCAGTTGTTTAATAGTTGATTTCGGTGAATAAGTCATGTAGTGAAACATTTTGTATTCAACGTGATCAACACTTACCATGAGTTGGGCGACTACTAACATGGAAACCATAAAAAGCAATGAAATTAGTGGGGATAAAATGAAAGAAGTTGTGTATGTACCTGACGGGGAGATCAATGAGACATTACAACTCAAACCTAAAGACGAACAGAAAAAAAACGATACATGGTTCTTATATCTTTCGGTGATAACTGGTAAGACATTCTCAACTGCTCAATCATTATACTCAGAGGTAATACGATGATAATAGTAAGTGGTATACCCTGTCCTTCTGAGCAACATAGTACTTCGAAACAATATAATGCATAGTGCACATGATCCCCCAGACGAGGCTGCTTGTACAGAGTCGCACTAAGGAGCGACCGATTTTTTTTTTCAATAATATGCGGCTGGTTGAAAGAAAACTTTTTAGGTGAAGTGTAGGGACACAAATCATCAGTTTCTTCAGCAACTCCAAAATACCGTACATGTACACGCTACAGGAGTTAAAACGTAACTGAACACTCTAGCACTGTATCTTGAATTCCGCCAGCCGATTGCAGTTAAATCTGATTGGCCAGCGTGAGGACGCTCGTTTATTCTACCTAATAGATGCAAATGGGCGTGAAAATAATGCTTTGATCACGCAGACAAACAGACAAAGTAACTCTGTTTGGGTTACTTTGTCAGTTGGAGGAATGTAGTTTAGTATTAGCACAGATCTGGCCTCAGAATTGTTGGTGAAGAGAGCGTTTGCTACAAATATGCTAACAGATACGTTTTTTTTTCTCCTTCGTAATTGATAGAATTTTACGGAAATTGATAAACGTGGGTATTCTAAATTGTCTTTGGTTATTCTTGACCCAATCTCTGCATATATTAGCTTGGGTTGGGGACGTACCCGATAGGTATCCCAACCTACGGGTTCTTGACCCAATACTATGATGGCTAACTATCAAATTTGGATCATCTACAAAATAAAATGATTTTGAAAATGAAGAAAACTATTAGAATAATTAACAAGTTTTGTTCAATTCAATGTCCTGTGTTTTTATAGCTCTATATCTCAATGAATATTTATTTTACTGTATCATTGTATATACTGATAGAGTAGGAATTTTTAACGTTTGTTTGAAGGTGATTGACAATGTTTCATGATGAATTTCACTAGTTCGGACTTCCATTGTCTACTATATAAAATGATTTGAAATCCCTGAAACAACTAAAAAAAGAAGAATTGAAAATGAATAGCTGAAAATAACAATTACATCAACCAAAATAAACCTGAAATGAAATTATAGTGAAATAAAAGAGGAATCATCAAGACTCTATTAGACCTTGCTTTTGGGCTCTGTGATATGAAGGAAGGTCTCGAGGAGGAACTAGACATCATCACTGAAGGTTGTTTATTGATTCTTCCAAAACTAGTTTGAAAGCTGTTTTATCACACAATAGTAACACTTGCATCTATACCTGTTGGCCATTCTGTACATATGGAAGAGACCTATGGAAACCTAGAAATAGTGTTGAATAAAATTGGCTATTCGGCTCATGGTTGGATGATATGTGGTGACTTGAGAGTAACATGCTTGCTTCTAGGTCAGTAAGGCGGTTTCAACAAATTTCTATGCTTGCTTTGTGAATAGGACAGTAGAGCAAGGGATCAACATTGGTGCAGAAAGAACTGGCCTGTGAGGGACTCTTTAAAACCCGGCGAGAAGAACATTCCCCGCAAAAACCTTATAGATCCTACAAAAATTCTCTTATCACCTCTACATATAAAGTTAGGCTTCATGAAACAGTTTGTAAAGGCATTGCCTGAAGATGGACCTTGTTTCAAGTATCTCTGTCAGAAATGTCCAAACCTATCAGAGGCTAAACTTGAAGAAGGCGTTTTTGTAGGGCCCTACATTCAAAAAATGATGTTCGACGTGAACTTTAAAACCACAATGACCATACATGAGAAAGAAGCTTGGGTATCATTCAAGCAAGTTGTTACAAAATTGTTAGGAAATGCAAAAGACCCAGAATATCGTACCGTTGTAGGTGACTTGTTAGAGAATTTCAAGAAATTAGGATGTTTGATGAGCCTGAAAGTCCACTTCTTGAACAGTCATTTCGATCACTTTCCCGAAATTTCAAGATATGTTAGTGAATAGCAGGGTGAGAGTTTTCACCAAGACATTAAATTGATGAAAAACATTACCAGGGCCGCTGGAACAACAACATGATAGTAGACTACTGTTGGTCACTTCACTGTGTATCTCAACAAGTGACCCATCACAGGAAAAGCTACACAAGAAACTTCACCAATTCCATCTGACTAGTAAATCTACATTACAATACTGTATCATAATTTCAAGTAACCTACTGTAAATAAAAACCATGATAGTGATTTGACACAGTGTTTCATTGATTTCACCATATACTGTACAGATTTTTGATTATATTGAAAAAGTCAATTTCTCAAAAACTATGGGTGATACAAAAAAAATAAGACAAGATTTGGATTCAGCACACAAAAATCTATAAAAATCAGCTATTGAAGTAAACAAAGTTTTCAAAAACATTTTTTTGTTGGCCTGTGTAATCGATTGAATGCATCTAACCTAAATCTTATTTTCAGCAAATTTTCTGATGTTCGCTGAAGGCTGTTCAATGGTTTGGACATCTCCAGTAATACCTCAATTGATTTCGAACGACTCGAATATCAACCCGCTAGGAGAACCAATAACAACCATAGAAATATCACTGTTAGGCGGAATACCTTCACTCTTCACAATAATTGGCACTCTACTGTTTGGAAAACTACCAGACATCATCGGAAGAAAAAACACCTTACTCTGCGTATCACTAGGGATGTTCCTGTCCAACCTGGCTATGTCCTTCGGTACATATATCTACGTCTTCTTCGTTGGCAGAGCCATCGTACAGTTATGCTGTGGATTGGTGCTAGCAGTTGTTCCAATTTATCTGAATGAAGTTTGTGAAGACCATAATAGAGCGAAGCATGGGTGTCTCATGGTGTTCTTCATCCCTTTCGGAAGCCTTTACGCCTACCTTGTGGGTTCTGCAACCAGCGTCAGATGGTTCACTGCATTGTGTGGACTGCCTTTACTACCCCAAATGGTAAGTCTGGCTTTATTAGTTCCTGAGTCACCATTCTACACAGCTGCTAGAGGAGATAAAGCAACCACCATCAAGACATTGAGGAAATTGAGGAGGAACAAAAGCGACCATGAAATCGAACAGGATTATCTGAAAATCAAAACAACTTTGAATGCTCAAAGTAAAGCTGAAGCAGGTGGACTGAGAGATATTTTTGCAACCAAGGCTTTGAGAAAAGGTATCTTCATTGGCCTGGGAGTTTGCCTGTGTCCACACATATCAGGGGCACCTGTTGTCCTGGCTTTCTTAGCCCCCATTTTCAACAACGCTGGTACGGAACTTTCTGGGAACTCAGTGGGAATTCTAGCCGGAGTTATCAAGCTTCTATTTTTCTTCATAACCGCTACTTTTGTGGGAAAGTTCGGTAGACGGCCTCTACTTCTCTTTTCTAGTTTTGGAGCAGCAGTACCTCTCACATTCCTAGGCGTGTACTTTTATCTTAACGAAAATAATGTCCCAATCGTGGATCATATCAGGTGGCTGCCGATTCTTTGCATATCGCTTTTCATCTGTGCTTACTCCTTGGGACTGGGTTCGATACCATTGACGATTTTGAGCGAGCTATTTCCTAACGATCTCAGATCCACTGCTACTAGTTTCGTTATGACGATTGTAAGTACTGTTATCTGTTCAATAATTACTTGCTTCCCCCTCATATCGAAGTATCTTGGTATACATTACTGTTTAGGTTTGTTCAGTGTCTGTTGTTTCTTAGACTTCGCTTTCATTTACTTATTTCTGCCAGAAACCAGAGGTAAAAGTCTTTTGGAGATTCAAAATCTGTTGAGTAAGTAAAGCAAAATGAAGAACAACATACAGGATGAGTCAGCAAGATTCACCTAATTTTTTTTTGCAACCATATCAATAAAAACTATATTTGAAAATTATTCTCTCGCATTTTGGGTGATTCACTGGGTGATAGAAATCAGCTCGGATCATGATAAAAAAAAACCTCAAAATGAACACCGGGGCGACAAAATATAAAAAAAAACAAATAGAAAGTTGAATTTCATGGAATGCCTGTTATTGAAATGAAAATTTGATAAACAACTGATATAAAGCTATCTGAAGACGGTTCGCATTTAATTATTTTGATAATATTTCGTATATTTCAATAAATTCCATATTTTTGCATATAATTGTCAGTCTCAAGAACTGAATTTCAACGATTACAAAAACCTTACAGAAAGTGGCTTATTATCAGTTCCTGTACGATTATAATTCAATTCTCTTATCATAAATCCCACAAACTATAATTTGGAAATGAGGATATTTCTCCTGTTTCACATGTTTCAAAACTTTAGACCGTTTAGATGTCATTCATTTTTGCAACTCTATATCTCAATGAATATTCATTCCATGTATAATGATCGGTAGGAAACTTTAGACTTCATAAATTGATGCTCTCCATTTTCATCTGACTTTTTATTTTTTGCCTCTTTTCAGCTCATTACTATACAGGGTGTCCCATATAAAACTCCGCGGGAAAATATCTGAAAATTGAGACAGAATATCCATATTTCGTGAAGGCAGATGATTTTGATGTCAAAGGGTCCTCTTGTTTGCGAAGAGATCCAGCAATAGGCGTCATCCATTAGGGCGTCGCGACGCCGACGCCAATTTTTTCAAATGGTAACCTAGATTTTCCGATTCGTTTTTGGATTCTGCATTGAATTCTGAATTCAGTCATATAGCACACTTGTAGTTTACCTTGAATACTGATGAAACAAGGCAACTTTATTGCATATTATAAAAAGGGCCATGAATAAGTCAAAATGAATGCAATAATACGAGTTTAATAAAATGAATCCATCACTTATGATTTCATCATCTGTTCAATTTTATTTAGTTGCGTATTTCTGTACAAATTAAAATAATTGTTTCAAATTACCAGAAAATGTGTTACTTTGACCATAACTTGACTAACATGATGATAACGGAATCAATTAGTGATAACAAGAATCATTTTAGTAAATGTTTGAACTGCCTCCCTTCACGTAGAATATACATATTTCATCTTTTCAATGAATTCCCGATTCGTGACAGCTAAAAGCGTCTCTCGAGTTATGGAAGCACTAACATTTGTGATACTATTTTTCAAATCCTCCACATTTTGTGGACGTCGCATATAAACCAACAGAAAACTGAATACACTTTTGTCAAATCTGACAGGTCTTTTGACAGATCGATGAATACATTACTGCATTTATTTTTACTTATTCATGGCCCTCTTTATAATACGCAATTTTCAAGGAAAACTACGAAAGTGCCATATATGGCTGAATTCAGAATTTAATGCACAATTCAAAAACCAATTGAAAATACTGCGTTACCATTTAAAAAATTGGCGTCGGTGTCACGACGCCCTAACGGATGACGCTTAGTGCTGGATCTCTACGCAAATAAGAGGAACCTTTGACACCAAAATCATCTGCTTTCACGGAATATGGATATTCTTTTTCATTTTTCAGATATTTGCCCGCGGAGTTTTATATGGGACACCCTGTATGATGTCGTTGAGCCTTTTTTGGTCAATTTTTCTCTACGAATTCAAGTTGAACCACACCGCTGCCAAAACAGCCTGAAAAACTAACCAGGCAATTGTCAATGATGGTGTTAATGAACGTACTGTTCAATGTACGTTCGTTCCGGGGATTTTAGTCTCGTAGATGAGCCCCGAACTGGTCGGCCTACAGTAATTCAGGACGAGCCGGCACTGGTCAATAGATGAGATCCGAGCCTGCTCCACAACGACGCTCGTTCACACGTTTCACAAATAACCGTCCAAAAATCGAACGAATTGGGCGTAGAAGTTCTCCCTCATCCACCATACTTTCCAGACCTTCCGACAGGTGACTTTTATCTTTTCATGCTCACAGGTATAATATTCGCCAATCAGGACCGGACAAAAACGACCTTCGTCAACTTCATCAAGTCTCGACACAGTTTTTATGCTGACAGAGTCAATCGACTAGTGTTACGTTGGCGAAAGTAAATAAGCATCCACTGAGATGTTACAGTTTGAAGAAGACACATAAAAACCGACAAAACTTTCCAAAACACTCAATATCATTTCACAATACAGTGGCAGTAATGTATGCAATATTTGGTGTTTCTGGTGTAGTATTCGATTTATTTCAGAGAGATTATCGAAGCAGAAAGCGAAATTTTCTGTCCAGCAGGCACAAATCTGGTAATGCTGCTTCGGTCTATTTTGAAACTATTCCTCCTTCACATAATTTTGATGAGATCATGCATTGCCCCCATTCAAGTATGGAACTGAAATCTCCTCTTCACTTGGAAGGATCGATCGCAGCTTGAGAAATGGTTCTGATACAGATTCTGTGATACATGTTCTTCCTTACGAGTCAGTAGGCAGTTGTCCTGAAAATCTTGGTAAGAAAATTGGATTAGTTGTTTTGTGAAACACTTGTTACATGAATTGCATTTTACAAGTGTTGTTCATGACGAAGAATTTCAAGAACGAGGTTTTAACGATGACCAAGGACGGAAATGTTTTCTACTTATTTACCAAACTCAAACAATTGTTCATGCAGTTACAGTTCCGTAAGAATGTATCATGTTTCTCATCAACCGATTTCCTGGAGTCTTTGAAGTCCACTAAATACTCGTTGGGGTTCTTGTTGAATACTCTTCGTGAGCAAAACAGTAGTAGAATCAATACTCCTGACCGTTCTGGATTGAATGATTCCGTACAGTCTATCTCATCTTGTGTTTGTAAATCTTTTGCGTTTCCTAATATGCAAAGCTTGTTGTTAAATCATCTGAAAATGAAACTTTTAACGGGTGATAATCAACCGTATAATAACACTGATGATCTGCAAACATGACTCAACCTCTGACGGAAGCACCAAACTCTTACGAAGATTTTTATTGCCTTTTTGGGAATAGGCTAAACTCTAGCAACCTTTCAACAAGAAGGAAAAATCCCTTCCTTGTATGACAGGGTGAAAATTCTGCAAAATACTGGAGCGGGTTCTTTTGCGTACTATTTAAGTACGATGACGGGCACTATATCAGGACCAGACGCCTTGTTAATAATACTTTTCAAGACATTGCTCAGCTTGAACGATATGTTTTCTCGTCAAGAAGCAGTGTAAGATTGAAACACGAAATTGTTTTTGATATACTATTTTGAAAATAACAGAAGTAGCACCATAACTTACAAACTTATGAGGTTTGGAGGTTAGTACCAACTAAAGAAGCGGTGAATGCAAAAAGACCAACGCCACCTATGTGTTAATCCCGAGACTTCTCAGCCCATGTATTACATTGTAAAAATTCATAATAAACATCATGAATACTTCATTTCTATTTCTTCAGGCTCCTTGACCCGATATTTCATTTCCAGCTGATATTCTGATATTTGTGAAAGGCTGCTCCATTGTCTGGACTTCTCCGGTAATCCCTCAGCTCATGTCAAACAACTCGGATGTCAACCCTTTGAACGAACCAATAACCACCGCAGAGATTTCTCTGCTAGCAGGACTGACCGCACTTTCCTTAGTACTAGGTACCTTATTATTCGGGAAACTACCAGACACCCTTGGAAGAAAGAATACCTTACTGAGCATATCGATGATGATTCTCATAACAAATCTAGTGATGGTCTTCTTTGGAATCCACGTATACGTCTACATCATTTGCCGGTCCATCCAGCAATTGGGATACGGGTTGCTGCTAGCGAACCTACCCATCTATGTAAATGAAATTACTGAAGACCACAACAGAGCAAAGTACGGGTGCCTGACGATGTTCTTCCTGCCCTTGGGAAATCTATACGGTTACCTTGTGGGTCCTCTAACAAGCGTGAAATGGTTCACTTTCCTGAATGCTGCGCCTTTGATACCACAGATGATACTCTTCCACTTACTAGTCCCAGAGTCCCCCATTCACACAGCTGCTAAGGGTGACAGAGTAACAACTATAAGAACTTTGAAGAAACTGAGGGGCAACAAAAGTGAAGAGGAAATCCTCCAGGACTACGTGAAGATTCAGGAAAGTTTGAAGTCTGGAAGTAGAGATTCTAGTGTGGGTGGCTTGAAGAAACTATTTGGATCTCGGGGGTCCAGAATGGGAGTTCTAATTGGGTTCGGAGTGTGCCTCAGTCAGCACGTGTCAGGAGTTCCTGTTGTCATGTCTTTTTTGGCACCCATATTCAATGAGGCCAATGCTAGTCTGTCTGGTAATGAAGTTGGGATGCTGGTTGGAGCAGTAAAACTGGTTTTTTTCTTCATAACAGCTGCAGTTGTAGGAAGATTCGGTAGAAGAACTTTAGTACTGATATCCTGCATGGGCACTGCAGTGTCCCTGGTTTTCATAACAGTGTATTTTTATCTGAACGCAACCAACGCACCGATAGTTCAAAGTATCAGATGGCTGCCATTAGTCTCCATATTGGTGTACATATCCTTCTATTCTCTGGGACTGGGATCGATACCGTGCTCTCTCTTGAGCGAGTTGTTTCCCAGCGATATCAGAGCCACGGGATCCTGCTTCGTTATGACCATCGTTGGAGTTTTTATAATTATTATAGTATCTTCTTTCCCTCTTTTATCTGTGAGTTTGGGCGTACATTTCTGCACGGGAATGTACAGTGTTGGTTGCTTCATATGTTTTGCTTTCATGTATTTCCTGTTACCTGAAACCAGAGGAAAAAGTTTCCTAGAGATTCAACATATACTGAGTAAGATATCTGGTAAACATTCAATGACTGATGTAGAATAAATTGTGACTTGTGTACTGTTTGACTAGAATTGGAAAAAATATAAATATATTGGTATACTTTGAACTGTAACATCTCAGTGAATACTAGATTATTATTTGGAATGAGTGCAATCTGAATGAGTCCCCTTTTACCGTGAGCACAGAAATTCAGTGATCGGGATTCGATGAAGTCGAAGAAGTCACTTTTTAGACAATAGGACTTTGCTGGTCATCACAAACGGTGCGTCAGCTCTCATGTGGTTTTTGATGGTTTGCAATGTATTGGAAAGGCCAAAAAGCTCTAAAGATGGATTCCCCATGATTCGAACGATCGACCGAATTCGTCACGTTTCGAAGTCTGTTCTTTTTTGCATTCGCGTAACCAAAATGATCCTTTTTCAGATCAGTTCGTCAGGTGTGATGAAAAGTGGATCATCTACAACAACAGAAGACGTTTAGGACAGTGGTTGTACACCGATGACCTACCCAGACACATTTCAAAGGCGAAAACCCACCAAAGAGACCATGGTTATTGAATTAGAATTATGCATAATACTATTTCTCAAGGCATTGTCATCGGCAACTAAAGTCGCATAAACAAGCGATTTGAGATATCCCCTGAAGAAATACTCCAGACGATTCAAGTCTGGAGATGTAGGTGGCCATTGTAGAGGCCACCTATGAACTATCCACTGGCAATCTGTCTTCTAGAAATTATCTATACGTCATAACGTTGAATCAAGGGGTAAGAAAATGTGGCCCAATGAGATGATAATTCAAAATTTACAGTTCTGGTGTTCAAGAAAAGTGCTTGTTCAGAATTTATTATACATCAAAGATTCCAGTTCTACTTTTCATTGATAGCTCATTCATGTCTGCTATAAGGCTCGTTTATTTCATGGGGAATTTACTTGGTAGCCTTCAGTGAAAACAAACGAAAATCAAGGTAAAATGTAAAAATATACAGGGTGTTCTCTTGGAAAAAGGAAGTTTGTACCGGCTTCTGGTATAAGTGGTATTGTAAAAACGTCATTATTTCCATACGAGGTATGGTTGTATAAATATCTTGATTTCTGACCGGGATATTATAAGCTTATATCGTCATAGTTACGCTATCAATAAAGAGGGTCATAACTCCCTTGGGAACAGCTTGAGAAATGGTTCTGATACAGATTCTGTGATACATGTTCTTCCTTACGAGTCAGTAGGCAGTTGTCCTGAAAATCTTGGTAAGAAAATTGAATTAGATGTTTTGTGAAACACTTGCTACATGAATTGCATTTTTGCAAGTGTTGTTCATGACGAAGAATTTCAAGAACGAGGTTTTAACGATGACCAAGGACGGGAATGTTTTCTACTTATTTTCCAAACTCAAACAATTGTTCATGCAGTTGCAGTTCCGTAAGAATGTATCATGTTTCCCATCAACCGATTTCCTGGAGTCTTTGAAGTCCACTAAATACTCGTTGGGGTTCTTGTTGAATACATTTCGTGAGCAAAAAAGTAGTAGAATCAATACTCCTGACCATTCTGGTTGAATGATTCCGTACAGTCTATCTCATCTTGTGTTTGTGAATCTTTTGCGTTTCCTAATATGACTAACCACTCCGTACAAAGCTTGTTGTTGAATCATCTGAAAATGAAACTTTCAACGGGTGATAATCAACCGTATAATAACACTGATGATCTGCAAACATGACTCAACCTCTGACGGAAGCACCAAACTCTTACGAAGGTTCGAAATAGATGAACACTTCAATCTAGCAGACCACTATTATAATCTTCATACAGTCATTGTTCACTGTGGTTCTGACGTTGAATCTGATCATTATTACGCATTGGTCAAAGACGAAACGGACTGATTTAAGTTTGACGATAGTCGTGTCACTAAGTGTTGGCGATGTCTTGAATTCATTGGAGCCTCTGGAGACACCCCACATTTTGTTTTATGGAGGATTCACCTGACCGGCACGGTCAAGATGTTGATGGTAAAAGTATCCATTGACGGTCATTTGTAGGGAACGTTTTTCCAGGAAGCTGGAGAGCCATACACAAAAAAGATTCAAAAAGCCATAGCATCGAAATTTTGCTAGCAAACTCGCATACCACACACGGTCAAAGGCCTTAGAAATATCAAGCGCAACAGCTCTTGGCTCTCCATGTTTCTCCATTGCGTTATTCCAATGAAGGTTGCCTGTTGATCTTTGTTCTAAAAGCCATATTGATGATCGCTCAAAATGTTGAATCCTTCCAAATATTCGAGTCATTTGGAAGATTTTTATTGCCTTTTTGGGAATAGGCTAAACTCTAGCAACCTTCCAACAAGAAGGAAAAACCCCTTCCTTGTAAGACAGGGTGAAAATTCTGCAAAATACTGGAGCGGGTTCTTTTGCGTACTATTTAAGTACGATGACGGGCACTATATCAGGACCAGACGCCTTGTTGATATTGAGCTGCTTCATAATTCGCTGAAAATCAACATTTATCTTTGAGCATGTCGGAATTAATTCCGAAGAAGTTCCAGAATAAGAAGCTGATCCTCAAAGTTATGAATCTTTCAGTGATTTAAAGGAGGAAAATTCAATAAACCGACGAACGAAAAATCCTAACTTCTGAGCTACAGGGTAGCTCTGAGCTACGGGAAGTATTCTCCAGCTCATTTGAAAAACTATTACAATTCAGAAAAAAATTATGAAACCAAAGTTGCTTAGAATTATTCAGTCTGTTTGTTTTTCGAAGATAACTGTTAATGAGCACTGTAGTAGATTGGATTATCGGTAATTAGTAAAATAAATGAAAAATAATATGAATGGAGTACAAGAGTGATAACTATGAAATAAATTAAACTAGTTGCAGGTAGTTAACAACGTAGGTTAGGAAAAGGTGTTGCCAAGTTTAAAAAACCTGAAAAGGGAAGGAAAACTAATCATTACCCAATTTTGATACACAATTTATGTATTTGTTGAAAAAGTCATTATTTTCTTTATTTCACAGGTTTTATTTTGGTTTTGTTAGGTTTGTTCTATTTTCTCCCCACCACTATTGCGATTTGTTTGTCATTGAAAAGTATGTCTTCGTTTTTTAAACCTTTTTCCCAAAAATGCTTGAATATTCAACTCGCTAAGCCTATTCGAGAAAGAACTGAAATCAACTGATCGATATGAAGAATAATTTCTGAAATAATACAGTACGACCAAAGCACTGAGTTTTCTTCAATGAAAAAGTATCGATATCATAATTTTCAAATAGCTTCATTTATATATTTGTATGTGTGTAAATGTGTTTATATCTGTAGTATGTATACGTTAATTGTTCGTTTCGTCAACACGTATACACATTTATCCTTCATTATTATCTACCATTATTTTTTTTCATTGTTCCACGACAAGAATATGTTTTTGTGGATTATAACTCATATTTATTCATTCATATTTCATTTCATGATATGATACTATGTAAATTATGTACAAAAATATCATCAAAACTATTTACTTACCTACTTAAATTATTATGTAGTCTATAATTAAAACTGTGGTTTGTTCTAGTGATTAAATATATTATTGTTATTATTATATTATAGTTCTTTAATTGTTAATCAACGAGATCTATTGAAAAAATAGGGCAAATTTTCATTTTTCCCAAGAAATAATTATCTATTCAAGAATTTATTTTTTGTCCCCCAGAGTAGTAGGTACTTTAATCTTGTAGCCCTCAATCTCGAGAACAGGAAGAAACAGTCGCAAGGGGGCAAATCTGGAGGATATTGTGGCCGACGCAAGAACAACTTGAAATTTTTACAAAAGATGGAGTATTGAAGATCACTACAGGAACCAAATTCCTAGGATATATTCCAGATGAGAAGTTATATTGGAGGATGCATATAGCAGCGATGAATGGAAAGCTATCTAGGCCATATATGCAATACAAACTATAAAAAAATGAAGTGGGTTCCAATATAGCAAAGACTGTATTGTATATACCAGTTATCTCCAGAGTATAATTTCTTGAGGTGTCGAATTTTGGAGAGATTCTGTATAGGTACAGCAACTCGGCATTCATTTTTCAAAAGGGAGCTATTTGTGCTCTTTTGGGACCCCGAAGCTCAGATTCATGTGAAGAACATTTCCTTGAGTTGAAAATATTTACACTGGCTAATATGCACATGTTATAGTCACTCTTTTGAATATGACTTTTTGAAAAACACTTTATTTTCAAATACAAACTTTACTTGAACAAATAATGGGAAATATCGTAACAAAGACAAATACAAAACTATAACGAATACGGATCAGACTCTAAATCAGTACTGGACACTCATTTGGCGTCTCAGGCTCCATTTATAATGTGTAGACAACGGTGTCAACAGTAGACGATGGGAAATAACAAAGGTATTGAGTTCTGCTGACTCTGCTGGCTTAAAATTTTATTTTTATAGATAATGTATAGAAAAAAATACGCGACGTGAGACTTGAGAGGGAGGTTTGTATAGAATTTTCAACGGTTCCTAATTATTTTGCTTTATTGCAATTTTTGCATAGATCTTTAACTGAGGACATGTGGGTGGAATGAGTTTATCCATTATAAACAATCAAACAATATTTTTCTCTTCAATATATCAGTTTAGACAATTCATAGTTGAAATTAACTTCATATTATACAGATATCTCTCATATCCATTCTGGAAATGTTTCAAAAACAAATCAAGTCAAGAAATTATGCATGCACTTCTGTGACAAAAATATACTCATAAAATGGCAACCTTGAGAACCTGATAGTTGCACAGAAACGTTAATATATGGTACTGCATTTCCAACATTCATTTCAATTTTGATTTAGTTGTCTAGTAGTGATATCAGCCAACAAAAAGAAACAACAGAATCTCCCAATCTCGAAAAATGGATAGAAATCTTAATGATATAGTTGGGGTGGTTTACTTTCCAAGTGGGGAAGCAGAAGAGACAGTACAGCTCAAACCAAAAGACAAGCAGAATAAAAGCGATACTTTGTTTTTATATTTTTCAGTCATTACTGGTAAGGAAACGATAACAAGTAATTATTTAATTCAATTTTTGCATATCATATTCTTTATAACATTATCATCTTTCGTTATTTTCAAGTCCAACATTTTTACAGATTGTAGAAGTAGAAGACTTCATTTTAGGAATCCTAATATACAATATTTAGTTATGCATATATGAATAATTTATATACGTAAATAATTTTAAAGTGCGTCATTTATTACAATTTTATATATTCTAATTATACTTTTTGAATAATTTTAAGGAATTTACATGTTTTATTTCATCAGGTACTTTATTGAAACTATCTAGACCTTTGAAGAACAATGAATTCATTCCACTCTTATAGATTGTTCAGGATCTATAAAATGTATTACATGTTCTTGTGTTTTATGAATGAATGACACTATTTCGAACGTAATATCTGCTAAGCTAGGCTGGTTGTATCCCACTCGTAATTTTGAAAATAAAAATCATGCTCAAATAATACAGTCTTCTGTGTACCGTCTGCCACTGTAGAGTATTCAACATAGATTCAATAGGGGTATACTGTTTGCATCTCAAAATGATTCTCATACCTCGATTTTGTACTTTCTACAACTGTTCTATTTGATTTTGGTTGAATAGATACATCAGTGTGGCACAGCAGTCAGAGTATGGCCTTATTATGCAGTTGTAACATGTTAGTCTAGCAAAGGTTGATAAAGATTTTGAAATTCTAGAGAAAAAATACATTTTCTTACATATCTTTCTGATAGTATATTCGGCATTCTTATTCAAACTTAATTGACGGTCTATAATGAATCCTAGGTACTTCATTTCATTTACAATTGTGAGTTGATTATTGAATATGCTGATATTAACGTCGTTAGTATCAATCTTTCTTTGATTCGAATTTGTTGTAAAAATCATTGCCTTAGATTCGTTGATATTCAATTTGAGTTCATTCACTTGTAGATATAATTCAATGTTCCTTAAAGATATATTGATATCTTGTACAGCTTCTTTTAAATTACAGTTTTCCGTATAAACAAGAGTATGATCAGCAAATAAATCAATATGGTGTGAACCAGGTACATAGTTGATATTATTTATATAAATAATGAATAGCAGTGGTCCCAAAACACTACCTTGTGGTACACTTATGTCATTTATAATTTCATCTGGCATTACATCACAAATTTTAGTCCTTTGACTTCTTTGCTCAAGATAACTATCTAATCAGTTTAAAGCTTTTCCAGTTACACCATAAAACTTCAGTTTATTGATTTAAGTTTTCCTATTAATTGTTTCAAAGGCACGCTTGAAATCTAGAAATATAGCAACAATATATTCTTTCTCATCAATACTTTTTTTCCACTCCAGACTGATTTTCGATGAATGAATTATTTTCTTCAAAATTCGTAACTAGTGTTTTATATACTGTCAGTTCCAGTACTTTTTCAAGCGTTGGAAGACTTTATTGGACGAAAATTACTTGCATCACTTGCATTATTTATTTTCGGAATTAGAGTCACTGTACTAACTTTGTACTGGTTTGGTTTCCAATTTTGTTTCATTGCAGTGATTGCAAATCTTTGCTGAGAATTGCCAATTCAGCAATTTTGCACGTACATTACGAAAGAATAATTATTCTAATGAATGGGAAAACATTTAAAAAATGAGTGTTTACATTACCTGTTTTATCAAAGTTAGTTTAGTTCCAGGTTGAGTTATTTTCTACAACAGTTAGCTTTTCGCAATAACTGGCTGACCTCATGATAAAAGTAATGTTTTCGATTCATCAGTCGATGATCCACTTAGTCCAAAAGTTCTTTCAAAATTAAAGTTCTTTAATTTTGTAGTCCCACTTCATGTCTCCCAAAATGTGTTTTCTATGACAATTGAAAAAGTAATCAAAAATCCTAACGTTTATTGTTTTGATCAAGTAGCCGAAATGGTTTACAACACTTACGTTTCTAACAACTTAACCATGCCACACAACCTCTTACGGCTCTGAGGAATGATTCTCTACAGCCTTCTACGACTCTAAAGAATAATTCCCTCCAGCTCTTTACAACTGTGAGGAATATATCAGATAGACCAGAGCTTCAGAAAGAATACACCTATCCTATCCTATTTATTGGACCCCACGGGACATATTTCGGTGTATCCTCTCCGAAGCTCTGGTATGTAGGTATATGTATAGTAGGGAGCATTTAGGCCACATGTGACCCATTGTATGTCCTCCTAGGTCATCGTCCATCCTGTCCTTTTCAGGAAGTTGGACAGGTCACTAGGAAACATCTCCTTTATATCGGCAGGTGGAAGCCAAGACTGGCCAAACACACACTCTCTTTGACAACCTTGAGGTATCTCACGGCGGCCTCCACGAAGGTTTTTGAAGGTGCAGCGACATTACTGTTGTTGCGCGGCTTGTTCAAACTTCCTGGGCTTCCTCTAATGGAGGTGTTCAAGTGAGGGCGCTTTCCTGCAGAGGCAGCAGGTTCCTTGCCTTTATTCAAGGCGGAGATCTTGGCGCCCGCCGTAGGAAGTGCCCTTGCTGTTGGAGGTGGAGTGGGGGAGGAGGAGGGTGCACTTATAGTTGCTGCCACTCCTACTTCTTTCGCTCTCTTTCTTCTTTTGGCCTCGGCACTGCGAATACGCCACCTTTGTATTACATCACGAGATGATTTGCTATGTCGAGCCTCATTTCGAGCGATAGATTGGGGTGGACATATCTGTTCATCCTCAGCCACCGCTTCAGATTGAGGTGAGCACTTCTGTCCAGCCTCGAGATTGGTTTCTGTTGTGTCTGTTTGTTTCATATATGTGTGTTCCCACGAGTAGCAAGAGAAGAGTTGGTCACATCTGGCGGAGCCCCACATTACCAGAGGAAGGCTAATTACAATGAGGTTTCGTCCGGTTCCCCAAGGGGAACGTTCGTAACTGCATATCACCCTGCGGCCATTCAGCTGTCAGCACGATTCCTCAGACCTTAGCTTGGGTAGGATGGTCCCCGGTGGCATATTTCGTAATGGCTTTTGGGGAGTTTTAGTTCCCCTCACCCTACTTAATTCTGCCACTGACCAGGAGTCCGGCGATCCCATCCCATCCCTGTAGAGAATCATTCCTCAGAGCCGTAGGGGGCTATGTGGCACTGCTTTCTCAGTGTCAAATGCTGATGCAATATAAAACCAACGCGTTCTTTTGATATCTTCTCACTTTTTGATCATTCAAAAAGATTTTGTGTATTTCTGGTATGTTTTCTGGTGTTATTGCCTCATAAAGACGTCCACTGCATTCTGCATCATCGGCGTCTCTACGACCACGTTTGAAGTCACCAAACCAACGTTTAATTGGTGTTTCTGGCAAAGCGGAATCCTAATAATACTTTTCAAGACATTGCTCAGCTTGAACGATATGTTTTCTCGTCAAGAAGCAGTGTAAGATTGAAACACGAAATTGTTTTTGATATACTATTTTGAAAATAACAGAAGTAGCACCATAACTTACAAACTTATGAGGTTTGGAGGTTAGTACCAACTAAAGAAGCGGTGAATGCAAAAAGACCAACGCCACCTATGTGTTAATCCCGAGACTTCTCAGCCCATGTATTACATTGTAAAAATTCATAATAAACATCATGAATACTTCATTTCTATTTCTTCAGGCTCCTTGACCCGATATTTCATTTCCAGCTGATATTCTGATATTTGTGAAAGGCTGCTCCATTGTCTGGACTTCTCCGGTAATCCCTCAGCTCATGTCAAACAACTCGGATGTCAACCCTTTGAACGAACCAATAACCACCGCAGAGATTTCTCTGCTAGCAGGACTGACCGCACTTTCCTTAGTACTAGGTACCTTATTATTCGGGAAACTACCAGACACCCTTGGAAGAAAGAATACCTTACTGAGCATATCGATGATGATTCTCATAACAAATCTAGTGATGGTCTTCTTTGGAATCCACGTATACGTCTACATCATTTGCCGGTCCATCCAGCAATTGGGATACGGGTTGCTGCTAGCGAACCTACCCATCTATGTAAATGAAATTACTGAAGACCACAACAGAGCAAAGTACGGGTGCCTGACGATGTTCTTCCTGCCCTTGGGAAATCTATACGGTTACCTTGTGGGTCCTCTAACAAGCGTGAAATGGTTCACTTTCCTGAATGCTGCGCCTTTGATACCACAGATGATACTCTTCCACTTACTAGTCCCAGAGTCCCCCATTCACACAGCTGCTAAGGGTGACAGAGTAACAACTATAAGAACTTTGAAGAAACTGAGGGGCAACAAAAGTGAAGAGGAAATCCTCCAGGACTACGTGAAGATTCAGGAAAGTTTGAAGTCTGGAAGTAGAGATTCTAGTGTGGGTGG